GTCGATCGTGGTGTTACCATTGAGGCTCGTCTAGTGTGTAAGACCGGTTGGGGGGAATAGTTCTTTCTTTTGTTTTTGTGTATTTTGGGTTTTTGTGAAAGCTTGTGCTTTGTGTTTCCCTTTCTTTCGCTTGTGTCATTATCCCTTTAGGATCTATATTCTCCTGTTGGGAGTTGGTGGGGGAGTTAGGTTTATCCTTTTGAGTGCATTTGGTGTTTAGGCTCTCTTGGGATGTAATCTCACTAGATTCGACCTTTAATTGTCTCCTAGTTGTACTTATGTTTGTTATTTATAAAATTTCTATCGTTTCGAAAAGAAAAGATAATACTGAATACTTTTTAATTTGTAGTATTAATTCGATACCCGTTATTAATTATTTATCAAACAATTTTACAAAATTCGTTATGATTCGCTATAAAATTAATGCAATACACTATCGAAATAACATATATTTTTTTTTTTTAAATCATAAATTCGGGCTTAGCGTCTCTTTTAAAAAATAAAAAAACCAGCTCGATGAAAAAAAAAAAGAAGTTTATTAATTCAATGTAATATTAATCAAAAAATCACAAGCAACCAATCAACTAATCCCCGCTCGATTAGGCCACTGTCCCTCCTAATTAAGCCAAAATATTGACATATCATATAAATATAAAATATCTTTTTATTTTCCTGTACCGAATTAAGCCAGTAAAATAAAATAACCCTCGGCTGGGAGCCGACTAATCGATGCTAGTGGTGTGCGCGAGAGACGGTGGGTGTCGTGGTCGAGATCGGTGGTGGGTGTTTTGAAAATTAATACGGATGGGAGCTTTGATCTAGAGGCGGGTATGGCTAGTGCGGGCGGCGTTATCCGTGACCACTACGGGAATTGGGTGCATGGGTTTGTGATGAACATCGGGTTCTGTTCGATTGTCGGAACAGAGCTATGGAGCCTTTTACAGGGCCTGGTTCTGGCCTGGGATATTGGGGTTCGTCGCATTTTGGTTGAGGTTGATAACAAGAGTATAGTCGAGATGGTTAAAAATGACCACCTTAGCGGTTTGCATGGGGGGTTACTGCGAGGTATACATGAGCTAATGTCTCGTAGGTGGGAGGTGGATATTGCTCATGGTTTTAGGGAGGCCAATTTTGTGGCTGATTATTTGGCATCCTTGGCGGCGAGATGCCCGGGCGGCTTGCAGCGGTTGGCGAACCCTCCACCGGGAGTCAGTATGTGGTTACATCATGACAGAGTTGGTGTTGCTCATCCTCGGAGCGTGTTAATTTAGGCGTAGCATAGACTTTGCCTCCTTTCATTGTACCAATGAAAAATATCCAACCAATAATAATATATAAATAAATAATAAAAATAAAAAATTGAAGTGCTAAAAAAACAGTTTTTTTGCTACGGAGCCATCGACTTATGGAGTAATTAATAGTTATTTACAAATAGTGTATTGACACGTGTTATCTGATAAATATATTTTAAACATGTGTCAATACATCGCTCCATAAAAAAACAATCGGCTCTGTATAATTTTTGCTAAAAAATAAAAATACACTCCGCTTGAATAGATAGTTTTGTTGAAGGAGACTCTTGTGAACCTAAAGTAGGAGATTTTATTAATTTTCCTCTCATTTTCTAATAAATATTCAATCAACACACACAGCTCCAAATCTCACTCTAGCTTTCATTTCCAACAAGAAATTGACACTTGAAAGCTCCATACCTAATCTCAATGCTTTATTTTTCTGTGTTTTTCACCGGATACTTGTCATTAATGCAGGTTTGATTGATTCTAGCTGTGAAGAAAAGCCTCTTGCAGTTTTGCGAACGAGTTTTCAGGTTAATTGCTACTCTTTAGCTTCGATTTCATGGGTCTTTATTCGGCACTTGCAGAGCTGCTGATGTTAATGGTGATTTTCCGTTTCCATTTGCAACTGTTCCTTTGTCGACCTAAGTCATCTTCGCAGTGCAGCTCACATTTCGATTTATATGTGTTTGTGTGTGACATGTGTATGCGTTCATATTCCTTTGTGATTTTTTTGTGGGTCTGTGATTGTTTTTCTGGTTTGAGTGGTGGTGGTTGGAATTTTATCTTCAGTACTTCGTTGCCAGTACAGTTTTTGATGATTTATTAGTATCCATGTTTGCTGTAATTAGGAAAAAGTCACTTCAAAAGTTAGGGTTTCTCATCAATGGCCGCGTGCAAATACCCTTATTTCACCCCTTCAGACACGCGAAGCCCCACGAGCATGTTAACAGTTCTCGGCCCACGAGTTCTCCCTTTGAAAATGGCCGACGAAAAGAACTCTTTCCCTGTCATCGCCCAAAAATACAGCCCGAGTCTCCCGATTTTCAAATGCTCGGCAAATTCCCACAGCGTGAACCAATTCCAGAACAAGGACCCTTTCTTGAACCTACACCCAGAGGTCTCGCTGCTGAGGGGCGAAACGAACTCCACCATGATAAACCCGAGGCAGGACAGCTCGCCCGGCACTGTTACTGAAAACTCGAGGGACTCAACCCCTGTAAGCAATTACAACGAGGCGAAGATCAAGGTTGTTGGTGTTGGAGGGGGTGGATCGAATGCGGTGAACCGCATGATAGAGAGTGCCATGAAAGGGGTCGAGTTTTGGATCCTTAACACGGATGTGCAGGCCATGAAAATGTCACCTGTTTTACCGGAAAACAGATTGCAGATCGGGCAGGAGCTGACGAGGGGACTCGGAGCTGGTGGGAATCCGGATATTGGGATGAATGCGGCCAATGAGAGCAAGGAGGCCATAGCTGATGCGGTTTATGGGGCGGATATGGTCTTTGTGACTGTAAGTTTTTTTTTTTTTTTTTGGTTTTTTTTATATATATATATATTTTTTTTTGTTGGAGCGTTTTGAAGCCGTGGTTGTCTTATTGTTTGAAGTATTTTGATATATCATCTGGTCTGCCGTGAGCATGGAAATGATTTTTTCGTGCGTTTGAATCATTAAGGGCGTGTGATTGGATACTGATTTGATTTGGTTTTGATTGGTTTTTTTGTTAATTTTGAAAAAGGTGGTATGGTTAGTTAGTGAGATTTTGAGTTTGTTTTAAATAATTGAAGTTATTTTTATGTAAAAGTAGGAGAGTGATGATGTGAAGTGATGGTTAGTTAAAATTATGTGAGTGGATGAATAGTGAAATAAAGTTGATGTAATATATAAAGAATGATTGATTAGTATTATTTAATTATATGGATAATATTGAGTGCAAGGAGGTTGAGTTAAATCTTGAGTTTTGATAGGTTTTTTTCTTTGGATTGAATTAATATCCAATCACACCCTATAATATTTGAGAAATCTGATTCTAAAGCTGAGCTTGTAAGTTTGATATTTATAGATTTTCACGGATGATTTGAGTATTTTCTATGTCTGTGGAGCGTGTAGTTGAAATTTTCGGTTTAAATAGACGAGCAGCTCAAAACTATTTGTTGGTAATAGTTACTCTGTTGGCTAACATTATTTTTTTGCCTATTAATCTCGGATTGTATGGTAGTATCCGACAATCAGAACATAATACTCAGCTTGCTTTGCTATAATTGATAAGCATTCCTAATTTGCTTCTTATGTTTGATTTATTTATATATATTTGTTATTATTTTCCAAATCACTCAGTTCCCTCGTAAAACTTGCAGGCTGGAATGGGTGGGGGAACGGGAACTGGTGCAGCTCCCGTAATAGCTGGAGTTGCAAAATCAATGGGTATTCTGACTGTTGGTATAGTTACGAGTCCATTCTCCTTTGAGGGACGAAGGAGAGCTGTTCAAGCACAAGAAGGAATTGCAGCTCTGAGAGAAAATGTTGACACCTTAATTGTCATTCCAAATGATAAATTGCTGACTGCAGTTTCCCCAACTACACCAGTGACCGAAGCATTTAATCTTGCTGATGATATTCTTCGGCAAGGAGTTCGTGGTATCTCGGACATAATCACGGTACGGCCTGTCAAGGCCAAGCCGAAAAAAGTTTAACTTAATACGTGATATTTATCCATTGTTTATAATGTTTTCAAGTTAGTATTTCAATATCTATTATCTTTATGGGAAGTATTTTGAAATATCGTTCTTTGAACTGAAATAGGATTCTCCATGCTGGTAATATGTTATTGTGCGGTAAGTGTGAATGAGATTCATTCCAGATTTAGGAGTAAATTTTGGATTTTTGTTGGTGCTTATTATCGTTTTATCTGAATGTGAAGGTTGAGATATTTATGCATCAGATTGCCTCTGCATGAACTTTTGTTTGGTGGTTTATGCATCAGATTGTGCTGGTTGATTTTATTTATTTATTTTCTATTTTTACTTAAGCCACGGTTTTAGTAAATTCATTTGCTTTTGTTTCAGATCCCAGGGCTAGTAAACGTTGATTTTGCTGATGTCAGAGCAATCATGGCTAATGCAGGTTCCTCATTAATGGGAATCGGTACTGCCACAGGTATTGTCGAGAAGTCATTTCATGTTAATCTCGCGAATTTATGACCCCTAAATTTGTATATGATTGGAATGCAACAAAAAGTGGCCGTTAACCCTCTTTTACCTGTCAATGTATATTCCATTTACGCTTGATTAAAAATTGGCTTGCTTGCTCATGTAACTATACATCGAGAATAAATGACCATCTCACATTTGTATATTCCTCAGTTACACTTCCTGTGAAAAAATAAATGAAACATTTTGAGATTAATAAAAGAAAATGCAATGATCACTTTGGAATTTTGGCTTCATATTTTGGCCTTCCACGGTTTTTATAATGCAGGAAAAACTAGGGCCAGAGATGCTGCGTTAAATGCCATTCAATCTCCTCTACTCGATATTGGTATAGAGAGAGCCACTGGAATCGTATGGAATATAACCGGTGGCAGTGATTTAACGTTATTCGAGGTGCTTCTCTCTCTATCTACAAGTTGTTATTTGTGCCTCCCACCTTTTAATTTTCTTTTTTTTTTTTTTTTTTTT